CAAGAAATAAGATGCAAGAATACAAGTTTGAAGCTCAGAGGAGATATCAGAACTCAAGGCATAAATTTTAAAACAGTGGAAGTGGATGATATAAGTAAGGACAGAATTTAAACAAAAGATGAAAAAAGACTTAGGATACACTTTGAGGAATTCCAATACATAAGAAGAGAACCCAACAAAGAGAAGTAGAAGGAAATCAAGGAAATAATGCTGGAAACCAAGAGGTAAGCACATTCAAGCACGTAGAGTTTCACCTTTGAGAAACATTGCTAAGAAGTTGGGAAAGAAGTCTGTGGGATCTGGCAACCTTAAGGTTATTATTGATCTTAGCAAAGGGAGCTGCAGTTAGTAGAGGTACAGAAGCACGACGGACTGCGTTGCAGAGTGGCAGGGGGATGAGGAGGTAGAGCCAGTTTGTTTGGATAGTCAAGAATTTGGTTAGAAAGGAAAATGGAAAAATAGGGCAAGAACTGAAACAATATTATGGTTATGTGAAAAAATTTCTTAAAAGATGGGAAATATTAGAGCATGATTGTACGATAACAGGGATGTGTTACTGCTGAGAAAAATCAGAAGTAACAGAAGGAGCAAAATCTTTGATAAGCCAAAAAGTAACGTGATCCAGAGCAGAAGTGGAGACACTCCTTCTGGGAGGAGGAGGAACACTTCCTTCATTGCGGTAGAAGGAGAATTTGGAGGCAGATGCACCAAGTTGGCAGGTTTTGTGGTGGGAAGATGAGTGAGTTCGTGTTCAATGACTTCTATTTTCTCAATGAAGTATGAGTCTGGGTCATCAGTAGGAGGAGGATGTGTGGGAGGTTTGAGGGAAAAGGAGATGATATGGTACAGTCATCTCACAGAGATGGAGAAACTTAATAGGATTCCAGAGCACAGCTGAGTGCCCGCTTGAGGTTTCTGAATTCTGAATCAGTCATCTTGGCTTTGTGATTTTCCCCAACAAAGTTGCTGCTTGGGTTTGAGCAAAAGAAAAACTGGGAAGAGGCCTGCGAACTTAGAATAGCCTTTATGATTCATCCTAGACCTATCATATTCCTCTTCTCGCTCACTGGCTACTGGGCACTGAACAAAGTTTAATGGTCCCATCTGTTAAATATAGAAGGGAAGAAACATCAGCAACAATTTTTTTTTTTGCCTGGACTGCGGCCAGTGGTAAGAAGGTAACGTCCAAATCCTTGGACCCTAACTAGCCCAATGCATCCAGTAAGAAGCACAATCTTGTAGCCACACATACACTGATGAAAGTTTGCCATGGAAATTGTCATGTTAAAAAGCCAAAGTCATTTCAGGAGCTGAAGTGCAGCCTTACTAATTCAGTGTGAGATATATCTGAATTAAAGGATGAGAGATAGAATAACTGCAAAGAAATGCAGTGGAGTTTCTTTCCAGGTATACTGCGATCTATACATGTGAGCCTAAATTGTGTCAAAGAAAGTTCTAAATAAGTGGGCTCCACGTTAATTACCTAGTAAAAGAATGTGAGAAAAGGACAACGAAGAGCCTAGTAGATCCTACTGAAATAACTAAAATATAAAGTAGGATCAGAAGAAAGGATGAATTTCCATGGTGTCAGAAAAAAGCTTTCCTATGGATTAATTAAGAAGGAAATTGTAGCAGCCGATGCTGTGTTTATGGGTCCAGATGAATCCTCTGTGCTGTCCTTTGGGAGTTCTGTCTCTGTCTTTCATCGCATCCTTGAGCCAGGCTCACATGTCCTCCCCTGCCCTGGCCATCCGTCCATGCCTACTTCTGCTTCAGGAATCCACTCTTTCCCCTCATCATGCTTCAGGGTTGGTTTAAAACACTCTCCAGGAGCATTTTCTCTTATCCCACTTGCTCTTGCTTATGCCCCACCTTTCTGGAGAGTGCTTTCTGGGGAACATTTATTACTATTATAATTATGTTTTGTGGAACTGTTTCACATCTGCCTATTTCTGCTCAACACTATACTCACAGTTCTTGGCATGCATCTTCACACTCAGAAGACCGGTCTATCATCATGGAAGATATATATATATATATATATATATATATGAAATACATATGCTGAGAATGGAATCAAACACAGTCTCAGGCATGCTGATAACTCCTCATGAATTTTTTAAGAGTTTTATCTGAAATATTCTTGCATGTTTGCCTTTCCCTGCAATAACGTAATCCCTAAATGTCCTCACTGCCAGGTGGAGGCACCAAGAGATTCCTCCTTTTCCACTCTCATTACCAATTACACATTGCTTCACATTTAAAATCTAGCAACTCTGAACAATTCATAGTTTCTCAGAGGCCTTTTCTTCCTCAGAACTGCAGTGTTTTCTTCTCAGGACAAAATTCTGCTCATTCGAGACTCATTCTGTTCCTCACGTCGTCCGGGAAGCCCTCCAGTATTCCCACCACCCCCACCTCTGTTCTGCACGATTTACTGTAGGACTCACTGTACAGTAAACTCACTGCAGGACTGGGTCTTTTTCGTCTCAGGGCTTAGAGCATTGGTTGAAATCCAGTAGCTACTCAATAAATATCTATGGAACTGAGTTATTGATCATTATGAAGCAACATCCTTAATGATTTCATAAAGATCACCCAGCCTGAATATTCTTCCTAGACCAACTATTGTAATTTATAAGGTGACCACATTATGAGAGGCATAATAATACCTGCCAAAAATAGATTTTTCCATTAAACCATCCTTTTTTAAAAAATTTACTTGGTTATGCAAGCCTGTCTTTGGTATTTAACAAAAGTATTTATTCCTGTAAAAATTACATTTAAGCATATCATACCAATTACATCCACAGAAAGTGGTATCAGCTTCTACTATATAACTTTAAAAGGGTATTAATTGAACATTTTGAAGAATGCATGTTTTAGTACAAGGTAAGGTCAATATATTTTATTTCTCAGCTCTCTTCTCTTCCTTCCTCACCCCATTCCTCTTGTCCTACCATTTTTCTTTCTCTATTCTTCTCCACTACCCCAATATTTTCCAACCACTGGAGACATACAGGACTTGCTTAGACCCACTTAGAGAAATCATGGATATTAATTTTGACGATTCCTTTTCTGGCATGAGGATGTAGGCAGCAGGGAGTATGAACTTTGAACGTGGGCTTGCATCCCCTGGCTCTAAATGACAACAAATCAGAAAAGAATTGCATTTGTCAAACTGAAGGCTTTATCTTTTTTCATTTTTTATTTTTTTACATTTTTTAAATTTATTTATTTTTTTACAATGTAGTTGATTTTCATGGTCCTTTACCAATTCCTCCCTTTATCTTTTTTTTAATTGACAAATAAAAAATTATATGTATTTATGGTGTACAGCATGATTTTTGATATATGTATACATTGTGGAATGGCTAAATCAAGCAGACTTTCTCTATTTTTTAATAGCCCCCTATGCCATCCTTAATGCTAAATGCAAAAGAAAGGGTGAGGGAAAGGGCAAGGGAAAAGATAACACTGAGAGGATTTTCTGCTGGGACATTATAAGTAGCGTGAAGGAGGAGTGAATGAAATTTCACCTGATAGTGCTGAATGCACAAAGGAAAAGATGGAAAAAAGGGAAGAAAGAGCCATGACAATGCCAAAGGAGGACCTAGCAAAGGGCACCCCCTGACTGAATGGTGTGGGCTGAGCCATTGCCGTGGCTAGCCATCCTCAGGGAAGCTGTCTGTGACTCAGTGACTCCTGCCAGCAATGATGTGTGAGCAAAGCAAAGAATTACAGTAAAGGAAATGACTACCTAGAAAGTAGTGGCGACAGCAGCACTTACTGGCACCTGCAGTCAGAAAAACAAATTCATTCACTTTTTCAAGTGTTATTTATGAGGCATCTACTCTACACAAATCATAGTCACTAAATAAGTATCCTCTTCCAGATTCTCATAACCTCATGTTTAGAATACACCTAAATGGTCTTCTTGTCTCTTGTCTTTCCCTGTTCCAGTTTATCCTGCACACAAAGGGCAGGAAATTCTTCCTCCTACACAAGAGTGGTTATAAGCACAGGCTCTGGAATTAGACTTCCTGGATTCAAATACTGGCTCCACGACTTCTTAGCCCTGTGATGTTAGGCAAGTTACCTAAACTCTCTGAGCTCCAGTGTGCCAGTCACTGTAGACTGAGTTGCAGAAACAAACGTCTCCCAAATTTTCATAGTTTTAACAATAAAGGTTTATTTCTTGCTCATGTTCATGTCCATAATAGGTCTGAGGCTATGCTCTGTAACCTCTCTGTTCGGTAACGAAGGTTAAAGTTGCAGCCCCTATCTAGATCACACCAGACAGTAGCAGAGGGAAACCACACAGTGCTATAAAAGCTTTTGCTTGAAAATGTCACAAGTCACTTTCACTCACATTTCATTTATGAAAGCAAAGAGGCAGGACTGGGAGGAAGGAGCAGAAAGTATATTGACAACATAATCAGTCAGACCCAGATTCCTTGTCTACAAAATAACTTCCTTAAACTTTTCACCTTAATGCCATCCTTACTGCACTTGCAAGTAAAATGTCAGTCCAACAAAACCAAAATATGTTGCCATCTTCTGCCCAGTAACTAAATTTGATATTTCATATATAAGCTGGCTCTGTAAATACAGAGTAATGGACCCACTCAAGGAAGATAGTGATTTCTACCAAAAAAAAAAAAAAAAAAAAATGTTCTGCTTGCAAAATGTAACAAAGGCTTCAATCCCTCATTGTTATCCTGACATTTCCTGCTGGAGGAAAAACTAGCGAAGAGCCTTCATATTCTCAATGGATATGCTCACACATCTTCACAAATCCTCACATTTTCAAACACCTTTATAGCCTATCACCTATTAGATAAAATACAGAAAAGCGTAATGTCATTAAAGACTACTTCATTTGAAGCAAGACTGCATCATGTGAAGATGATGACTAAAAATAGCAATGCCACAGAGAAAAATGACAGACAGTACATGAGTCAAGCTAGACTCTTACAACAAACAGCCCCAAATCTCAGTGACTTAACAATGAATTTTTATTCTTAATCGCATCATAGTCCATTGTAGGTTGGTGGTGGCAGGTGGGTAGAGCTAGAAGTTCTGCTCCACCTACTCATGCAGGAACCCAGCCTTCTTCGGTCTTGCCATTCCACCCTCCTCTGTGTCTTCGGAGTCCTCTCCATACAGCTGTGAGATAGGGAAAGAAAGCAGAGGATCACATTTAGGAGGGTTTTATAGTCCGGGCCTGGAAAATGTGAATTTCACTTCCACCATGTTCACTGACCACAGCTCAGACACCAGGGTGCACCTAACTGCAAAGGAAGCTGGGACACACAGTCTAGCTGTGTGTTGAAAGGAAAGTAGTTTGGGAAACAACTAGCCAATCTGTACCATAGTGACTTAGGCTCACTTTCTAGCGAGGTGACTTGATCCAGCACACAAGCCCTAAGGCCAGTGATTCAGATATGAGAATTTACAAAATCACAAATTATAACATGTTCTATACATTAGGCCTCATGTGCCATGTACCTTTGGGAATGACAAAGGTCTGTTTTGCTATTATAAAGCCCTGGTTCTGATATAAATTGCTGAATCATTCCAGGAAAACTAGAGTCTGATCACTGGATTATGCTACTTAGGAAGAACACTGGGTTGGGCTAACAGGTAAAAGAATATAGCAATTCAAGTGCTAAACACACATGAAACAACACAAAGACACAGAGCACCATCATTTTGTGCTTTGTGCATACACACAAACTCCTCCCACAGAGGTTGACATAATGGAGGAAAAAAAGAAGAGAAAGGATATGTACACAAGGAATTGAACCAAATCAAATGTTTTGCGATATGCTTGACTACCTGCCCTGATAAGGAATAAGATGAATTCATAAAATTCACCTGCCCTCACAGTTGGTAATTGTTAGAAAATTGTCAGGCCCAAGGATGACATCATGCAGGGCAAACCAAGATCATTTCCTTTTACATTGATTGGCACCTGAGTTTTGCTTAGACCCCAGCTGCCTGGGCCTTGTCGTAAGTAACCAGATATTGTAGGTTTGAAACAGGCTTTCCATTTGCATCACCGGGCAATGAGCACAGCCAACAGGAAGCCCAGTGATTCAGATAACTTGTTTTAATTGAAATCAATACCAACGCAAGCAACCCTGCCTGAGATGGCAGCACTATGCTCTGATGGAATATTTTCATGGTCTCTGCCAAAGACAGTTGTTATCAGGAATGAACTATTAACTTCAACAGTGACTCATAATGCTTTCCAGGAGGGAAAAAAAAAGTCTTCGGACCAGTGAAAGTTTTCAATTAGGAAGAAAAAACTCACTTTTTCAAATCTCTGTTATAAAGTTTCAGTCATAGACTCAAGTTCAATTCCGGTTTGAGGTTCCATTAAATGGAAAGAGACAATTAGCTACACCAGTCCCTCTTCTACTCAACCCTCTTCATCCTTTCCTTCCCACTCTCACTTCAGATTAGGTCTGGTGAAAACAGAGAATAATTATCATAATTCATATGTTTTGAGCATCTTCTAGGTACAGAGCCATGTTATGGGTCCAGGAGTCAGCAAAATCAGCAAACTTTCTTTAAAAAGGGCCAGATAGAAAATATTTTAGGCTTTGTGGGCCATACAATCTTGATCATGACTACTCAGTTCCACTGATGTAACCAAAAGCAGACATAGACAATACATAATGAATGAGCATCTCTGTCTCCCAAGGAAACTTTATTTACAAAACAGACAGCAGGCCAGATTTGGCCTACAGGACCCTCTTCTAGACTTTAGATGTGTTATCATTTAATCTTCACTGAGGAGGGTATTACTATTCTTATTTTACAGATGAGGTCAATTGATACCCTCAAGGCTTCTCCTCTAGTACTAGGTGGAGCTATGGCCAACACCAAAGCAGACTATTCTTTCCCCACTTTGCCAGTCTACTGCCTGGCTGAAAAAGAAAGCAAGGAATCCTGAAAAATAGCTAAAGCTGCACACCTGGGCCTGATTATTTACAAATGCAACTGCTACTTTAAACAGTTGTCCAACTCTTCCGTCTTGATGATCCAGTTGACCTGACCAAAGTTTTCATGATGCAAGGTATGTAAGGAGTCAGATGCCACCTAAAAGAAGCACTATCAAAGCATGTAGATTCCTAAAAAAACATCTTCTTTCTACAGTCCCTGGAGCTTCCAATCCACATAAAAAGTCAAAAATTGTGCCAAATTTGAAGGGTACTTCATAATTAATTTGATATCTCACAAATGCCATAATTACAATATCCATGTGTTTAATGCCCACCAGAAGGACAGGGAGGGAGTGCGTCTATATTCCTGAAGTGCCCTGCACAGCATCTGACACAGAGGAAGTTCTCAAAAAATATTTGTGCCATGTTTTCATAGAACATTAGTATAATAAAAGTGTAATAAAAGATCCTGCTCTTTGTAAGCCAACCCTCTAGCAGAAAAGAAGAGAAATATACACAGATATTATAGTCTGATCTGCATTATTGCTTAGAATCAACAGAGAATTAAAAAGTGCTGTAGTTGTTCAGAGGAGAAAAGAGAGGTGAACTATAGGCACATCTTCATAGAAGACAAGGCATCAAAGCTGGCTCCTGGAACATGTGTAGGATTAAGTAGGTGGAGATGTTGGAGGAAGGACATTTCAGGCAAAGGAGACATCATGAGTAAAGAGAAGAGAGATGGGAAAAGGAGTATTTTCATAGAATATGAGCTGCTTGAGGAAATAATGAAAGACAGGTTGGGAGAAAGTATGACTTGAATTATTATGGAAAGGTTTTGAAATAAATTACCTTGGAAAGGTAATTCCAACTGAAAATATTTCAAATTTTTTTATTTCTCCAAAACACAGAATTATTTGCCTAATCCAAAAGGAAATTGACAGGGAAAAAATGATGCTGGGTTGTAATAAAGTAGAAAAATTGTAGTCATAAGGTAAAGTAAATGTCATTACACAATCATCTGTTATTATTTTTTAGATGTGTGAATTTACATCTATTCTGATTTAACTCAACACATCATGAGATAGAAACTGAATCTAATCTTTCTCACCATTGCATCCCCAGAACCTAACAACAGGCCAGGTATACAACAGATGCTCAATAAATGCTTAAAGAAGAAATGAATGAAGTAGCACTGTCTTTCATATTCATAAAAATGAACATCTTTTTTTCTTCATTTTTGGTCAGGGTATATACATGTCAGCTATTTGAAAGCTAACTAGGAAATTCACAAATAAAAGTTTTATTTAAAAACACAACAAAACAATAAACATTAGTTAGGTTAAGATCCTTGAACTTGATTTTAGAGCTGATTCATAAAAGAATCAAATAAACCTGGGTTCTTATTTTAAAATCAGGAACCTTAGAATTTAGCCATATTTGAGAGATCCATAGTTTATTATGTCTGATGGCTACAAATAACACAGAAAGAATCCTATGCTTAAATAAAAATAATGACTATCAGCCACCTAATTTTTTTTTCCACCTCACCACCATAGCCTACTCCCATCTGACCTACTCTGCTTGAGTTATCTTCCTGAAGTTCACGTATGATCATGTTTTTAGCATTTTGTAAACCTAGATTAATGGGTCATTTAAAGTTCAAATATTTGCAAAATCTTCCTAGCAATATCCCACCAAGCATATTGCAGCAACATAAGGTAAATTATGGCCTGCAGTTGGGAGGGTTTTCATGGGAATTCCTATGTTTGTCTGGGCTAGTCTTTGGGGTCAGTTGGAGGGAAACCACCCCCTGCATTTCCTAATCACTGAAGCTAAAGCAGGATTTCCTTGCCAAGTAGGCAAAGCATAATCTTTAGAGACACTCTTGCCTCAGAGTAAGATGATGAAACCCCCAGATGGTGGCTTGTTATTACCATACGGCACAGAAAAGTGTACAGTCTCAATCAGTAATGAAATTGAAGCAGGAGAATAGTCCAGAACAGTGCAACTTCCACAATAAATAATGCAGGGTGTTCTTTTCTTTCGTTTCTTTCCTTCTTTGTTTCATTAGCTATTATTTTTTACTTAAGAAAACATTTCTTGGTGGAAGCGGTTATGGTGGTGGTAGAATGTCACCCCACTGCACTGCAAGCCACAGCTAGCTCCTGAGGTTATTACAGTGCCTCTGTCTGAGCAGTGTGAGTTCCAAAAGTGGGGGTGGAAATTAAATGGCATTTGCATAGCAGAGCTGTAGGGATAATTAGTAATTCGACACACAGCCATTCAGGGCAAGGTCAACAGGAGGAGTCACATGGGCATCATATGATAACCATTTAATGGACTGTGTGAAATGAGTGGGTGGTCTAGCCTCAGCTCTGGCCAGGTACTGGTTCCCACACTCCCAGACTCGGGAGGGGGTCTAGAGTTCACCTGCACACAAAGACTCATACAAACAGCTCTCGTTGGATAGAGTTGGCCATGAAAGCTGCCACTAGACCAGAGGCCGGAGCTCCTTCTGGATAAATAAAGTCATTCAATTACGCTGCAAATGCATGACATTTTAAGTGCACTGACCTGACTAAATTATACCAGTTGGTAAAAATGTTCAGCCTGAATAATTTTTACATTTCTTTGTCACAGCATTGTGAAAGGGACTGGCCAGAGTCATGCTAATCCTGGGGAAAACGAGATGTTTGGCAAGAAGGGCACGGAGGCTTCATGTTGAAAATTTACTAACAGGAAAAACACAAAATGGCCTCTCATTCACAAAAAATGCTTCAGAGTGGCCTGACACCATGGGAACTCACCAGTGTATCGGGTGGAGCTCAGCCACCTCTAGTTATGAAGTTTTTGGCTCTCGTTCATCCCCCCTGAATTGGTGAGAGTGTCCATTTTCGATAGTACCATTCCTTTCTTTGACAGTATAGATCACTCTTCTACGTTCAGGGCAAACAAACAAGCAGAGAAGAGCAAAAAATTATATTGTGTTATGCTGAGATTTGCTAATCACTTATTTCAGCACTAATGCTTGTGGATACTTAATTCAATAGATATCTGTCACAGGCCTACTGTATGCTACTCTGGAAAACACTTACCCTACACCCCAGGCTCCATCTACAGAGAGCCCAAGCATAGGTTAACACATAGATATATTTCAAACTTTCTAGAACAGGGGTCAGCAAAGTTTTCTTGTAAAAGGCCAATGAGTAAATACTGTTGGTTTGATAGGTCAAATGTTAGTCTTTGTCTCAACTCAGTTTTGCCACTGTAGTGTGAAAACAGCCATAGACAATACATTCATAAGTGAATGTGGCTATGTTCCCATAAAACTTTATTTCAAAAGCCGGCAGCAGGCCTACAGGCTGTCATTTGCAGACCCTTACTCTAGAACACAGAAACTTGCCTAAAAACCAAACTGAGAGAGAACGGAAGGAAGGGCAAAAGTTTACTATTTTTTTGAGACTATGATCCGACATCTCCCAGTCATGGCTACAAAGACATAAATTAATCACCTTAACCAGATACAGAAGCAGCTTCACTGTCAGAGTATTTTATTAATTCATGATTTATGCTAAATCCACTTTCAAAGAGAACCTGAAGTAGCTGTCACTGGGAAGGCATACATAAAGGCTTGTCTACATGGTGTGATTAAAGAGACTTGCCCAACCAATGCAATTCCAGGTAGAATTATATGTCATCAATTATAAATTTAATTAAGGCAACAATCTGCCTTCCTCTCATATTAGTTAAGAAGGGTTGTGCCCAGGGTAACTGTTTTATTCTCTATGTCTGTATATTTGATCTTTTCTTTTTTTTAGATTTCACATATAAGTGAGATCATGCAATATTTTTTTCTATGTCTAGCTTATTTCACTTAGCATAATGTCCTCTAGGTCGATCCATGTTGTGGCAAATGGCAGAATCTCCTTTCTTTAAGGCTGAATAATATTCCATTTTATATTGAACGAGTGAGTGGGAGAAACACACACTGTCTTTCCTCTGTTCTCATAGCACAGCAAGCAACACAGAAGACCAACTTCTGCATCCAAATGTGTGGGGATTTCTCCCCACTAGCAAGTAAGCAAGCAATTCTCCAGCAGACAGCAGCTGAGTGTCCTCCAATTCAATTCTGACACTACTTGGAGATAACATCAGATCCCATAGGTTGAGGGAATCAGTCCCCAAGACTGCTCCACTCTTCAGATGCCAGTCACCAAGTCCAGCCTCTGGAACCTCTGACCAACCAGCTGTAAATCAGAGTTCCCACAACCCCCTCCTGGGGTTCAGTTAGCTTGTTTCAGCAGCTCACAATACTCAGGGAAACACGTATTTATGTTTACCAGTTTATTATAAAGTATATCAGAAAGGATACAGACAAAGAGATGCATAGGGGGAGACATAGGAGAAGGGGCACAGAGCTTTCCATGTGCTCAGCTATCCAGAAACTGTCCACACTGTCTCTTGATTTTTTATGGAGGCTTTATTACATAGGCATAATTGATTAAATCACTGGCCACTGGTGATCAACTAAACCTTCAGTCCTCCCCTTCCCAGAAGTTCTCGGTCTTTCCTGTGACCAGCCCCCATCCTGAAGCTACTTAGGGGCTGCCAGCCATCATCAGCATACAAAATGACTCATCACTTTGGAGATTCTAAGGATTTTAAGAGTTGTATGTCAGGAGATCGGGAGGAAGACCAAAGATATATTTTCATAATATCATATATATATATATATTATACACACACACACACACACACACATACACATATATCACATTTTCGTTAGCCATTCATCTGTTGACAGACACTTAGGCTGTTTCCATATCTTGGCTATTGTGAATAACTCTGCAATGAACATATGAGGGCATATATTTTTATGAGGTGGTGATTTCATCTTCTTTAGGTGTATATCCAGAAGAGGAACTGCTGGATTGTATGGTAGTTCTATTTTTAATTTCTTTAGGAACTGCCATACTGTTTTCCATGACTGTGCCAATCTACATTTCCAACAGTGTACTAGGGTTTCCTTTTCTCCATACTCTTGCCAACATTTGCTCTCTTGACATTTTGATAATAGCCATCCCAGTAGGTTATAGTGATAGTGGTTTTAATTTGCATTTCTTTGATGATTAGCAATGTTGAGCACATTTTCATGTATCTGTTGGTTATTTTTATGTCTTCTTTGGATAAATGTCTGTTCAGATCCTTTGCCCATTTTTTAATCAGTTTTGTTGTTTTCAGCTATTGAGTTGTAAGAGTTTTTTTATAAATTTTGGATACTAACCCCTTATCAGATATGTGGTTTGAAAATATTTTTTCCCAGTCCATAGGATGCCTTTTCATTTTGTTGATTGTTTCCTTTGCTGTGCGGAAGCTTTTTAGTTTGATGCTGTCTCCTTTACTTATTTTTGCTTTTCTAGCCTTAGCTTTTGGGGTGATATACAAGTCATTGGCAAGACCAATGTCGAGGAGTTTTCCCCTATGTTCTCTTCTAGGATTTTTATGGTTTCAGGTCTTACTCCATTTAATCTTCCCAATCCTCCAACATAAGCATGTTTAGCCACATATTACAGAAAAGATGAAAATGAAAACATCTCTAATTTGCACAACTAGTAGCTCTGGGAATTGGGATTTGAACCCAGCTCTATTTCCAAAGTTCATGGCTTTCTGATAAACAACACTGACTCTTGAGCCCAAAATGCCAAGATTTTGCCCATGTCAAGGATTCTTACTTCTTCTTAATTTCTTTTATCTATGTTATGCTCTTATTCTCTCTCTGCTCATTATTGAATCAAATTATGATCAAAATGACCTTTAAAAACACCCAATCTTCTGATTGGTACGTAGTTCTTTTTACTTGAGATTACAGGACCCACAGGAATAAAAGACCATGTGTCAAAAACTACGTCCACCCTCCTTTCTCACTCAGTTAACTGGGACTGTTAAAATATTCCATAACTTTCATGCATTTAATTACAAATCAGTCTTGATAGTATAACAATAAGAGGAAAAATAGCTAACATGAACTGGGTACTAAGATATGTGGCAGTCAGTGACACTATTTCATAATGCTTTGATAATCCTGTGAGGTGGGTACTGTTACATCTCCATTTTATGGAAACTGTCTCTCACTAGCAGTTAGAATAATATGCTCTGTGTCACCCACTGAAAAAGTAGCTGAGCTGGGATTCAGACCCACATCTGCCTAAATTATTTATAAACTTAGACCTTAGAGAGAAATCACAAGGATGCTTTTCCTGCTTACCAATGACAAGACCACCCCCAATGAGGCAAGTACCTTCTTTCCTATAATTACCTAAGCAGACTTTTGAATCCTGGTAAAGGAGGCTAAAAAAGAGTAAGCATCTCTCTCACTCCAGCTCACTCACTTTCCCTACTCTCTCAGTAGCCCCTACAGAAATTGGAAGCCGAAAGTACCAAAAGGAAGGGGAGAGAACAGACATTTTTGAAAGAGAAACAGGAATAGTTTAATAAAGTCCTTTCAAAAATTTTCTTTGGTGGATTTAAATTTACATACGCCTTGGTCCAAAAGCGATTACAACTAAAATTCAAATACCGTACATGCCAGAATCTTTTACTAACATAGAGGTAGGATTTGTACAAAATATAAAAGTAAATAAATAGAGTTCTTTCCCTCTTTTCTATTTCCCAACAGCCAGCTACCCATAGCACCCCATGATGGGTTATCCAATATCATAAACCTAGGAATCCACAACTTTTTACTGAATTGCAGAAAACCTCAAAGTCTATGTGAATTCACCCAAGGCTATGAGTCAATAGACAAACTGCATTTTATTCCCAAGCAGGAGCAATCCAGTTTCTCTGCCATCCCCACACATGCATTGTCCTTTTATTCTGTCCTTACAACATGGTATAGTGATAAATCTCTTTTTCTATATGAAATCAAGATATGATCCTTAAACAACAAAGACTAATTGTATTAGCAGCACAATGAGTCACCCTATCACTTTTATCCTGAATATATGTGAGATGCATCTGTTGAAATGGAATCCGCGGGCTCCCTTTAATGGGCCAAATGTCTCCAAGGACAGAATACTGGGAGGAAGTGATCCAGCTGCTCAGACTCCAAATCTTTTGTTCTTGAAAGAAAAATCAGGGAAGCATCATGAGAAAAAAAAATAATAATAAAATAAATGTACACACTTCACCTTGGGAAAAGATTAACAAAGCTTAGTTGGAACACTGATCATTTGACTGCTTATATTTCTATTTATTCCTCGCAGGAGGTCTGGCAAGAGTGAATTTTTCTCCCTGCTGTGTTCCTCAAATTATGATTTTCAAACTTTTTCAAGGCACTTTATGGAGGCAAAAGATTATATAATCGCCCTGCCCTACCTACTTTCATTGCGACTAAAAAAAAAAAAAAAAAAGCCTCATGAAATGAGAGTGTTGTTGCCAATAAGGCAACAAGGGAAGACATGAGCCAAATGCTTCTTAGTATCAAAAACAAAAATACAGCATAAAAATTATTGTATAAATGGGGACATCTCAGCAATCCAAGACTGCTCAGGCCATCTCTAAATGGCCTTGGGTGATCTGTAAATGCCCTTCAATGAGGGCAGTGTGACTTAGTATGAGGAAAGAGGACTTTACCCATGAGAGAAAGTTGTCCCAGGGGTTGGGGGAGAGGGTGGTGTGGAGAGGAAAACAGCACAAGTCCTAGAATCGAAAGGGAGCTTGCACAATCATTTTTCCAAGTCCCCTGGGTTGACCACTCTTCCTGTCATTCTCACAGCCCCCCAGTCTCACCGATTTAGGGAGACAGTGACACAATCTAGAACCTGTGGGAAGATCAGGACATTGCTTGCTTTAGCTCTCCATGTGTTCCCTGGAGAGAAGGTACCTCAAAGCTC